GCAGACGCGGGAGCTGAAGCTCAAGTAGGTGGTCGTGCCCCCCCCCCGTGCGCGGGCGCAGCTGTGCGGGGTGTGCAGGGCAGAATTGGGGCGCACAGAGCAGAGCTGGGGTGCGCAGCTGGAGGGAGCGATACGCCTGCTGACAGGGACAACTGAGCACTTCCTACCCCATCAGCAGCGGCAGGAGGTGTAAAACATATTTAAACCTCTTGAGCTGGGTGAGTTGCGCGCAAGAGTATTAAAAAGTTGCTGAGAAAGGTGAAAAACTAGAAAATACACAAGCGGAAACGACAGCACAGCAGCAGTGCGGGCTGTGGCTGAGTTACTGGACGTGGCGGCGGTAGCGGGAGGTGAGTGTCCCCTGAGGGCACCTGGAGACCCGCTCCGGCTGCAGCGCGGTCCTCGGAGGGGAAGCAGCTTTGGGGGGACTCGGGGTGAGCCCCAGCCCCGCGGGAGCTGCCGGCACGACGGTGGCACTTGGCAAAGCCGGGCAGCGTTTTCCCTCCAGGAACCTCCCAGCAGCAGCTGCAGCTGCTGGTCCGCCGCCTTTAGTGTGTTTGTTTTCACTTCAAGCAATAATCTTATTCAATACCCTTAAAAAACCTCACGCAGGCATGTGTAAGTACTTTAGCATTTTCAAGGTAAAATATTTATACTTTTACTAGAAACAAAATTTCATCTCAAATTTTGCTACCTTTCCCTTCGAACATGATTCAAACTTTTTAAAAGCCAGAAACTCAGTGAAGCAACTCATGGACTCAAAGCAGTTTTCTGCAGCTGCTCAATTTGCCCCAAAAAATGTGGGAAAAAAGATTCCCTTTGGGGTCCGTTTTGCATCACCGAGCTTTCCTTTATTTTCTGGTCGGGCAGCTGGGGGAGCGGACGGGTCCAGAGAGGAGACGGGGGTTCCTGCCTGGCGGGAAGCTTGCAGAGCTGCCCGAGTGTCTTCGCTCCTCTCTGACGACCATCTTCCTCTGCCCTCCCTCTCCTGCCTCTCTGTCGGCCGGATCTGTTGCTTCAACCTCTCCATTTCCATCATGTTTCCATCTTCTGGACGTTTTCCCGTTTCCCTGTGTCTCCCTCTCTTCCTGACATCCCTTTCCTCTCCCTTTCCGACCTGTTTTCTGTCACTTGTCACATTAACTCCTTCCTCTCCTGCTCCTTCCCACCCCCTTGCTCCCGCTCCGTCTCTCTCTTGGCCGGTCACTCGCTCAGGTACTTGATCATCGAGAACTTCATCCCACCAGAAGAGAAGAACAAGATCATGAACCGCCTGTACTTCGACGGTGAGGAGGACCAGTGGAAGTTCCAGCCGCTGGTGCCCACCGGAGGGTATGTCCCCAGCCCTAACCCACGCTCTAACCCCAGTGCTGCCAACCCGCGGGCACGAAGCCTCTGCCTGCAGAGCAGGGATGTCCCCCGGGCTGGGGGGGGACAGCAGGGACCCCCTGCAGGTGCCTACAGGTGGAAATCCTCTCCAAGCCAAGCGCCACCAGGAAGGGCCACCCTTCACTCACTGTAGATGAGCTCCGTTCGCCACTGTTTGGATGCATTTTTAGTAGGAATTTATGTTCTCCAATAAATGTTTCTCTCTATTTTTTAGAAACAGCAACCAAATGAAGAAGCGGCCTACCTCTGCGGTGGGGTACAAGAGACCCATCAGCCAATACGCCCGCGTGGCCATGGCCATGGGATCTCATCCTCGGTACCGGGTAAGTGAGAGGGCACTTGGTGCGTGCCGGGGGGACAAGAAGTCATTGGATAAATGGGAGGGAGGGATGGGTGGATGAACAGCGGGAGAGAAGGCGGAGTAAACAAGCTCACGATGATCTGGGATACATCAGTTCAAGCTCCCAGCTTTATCCTCCCACTTAGCAGGATTGGTGGCTGTGCTCTCAGCCGGTCCTTGAGCTGCTGGCTCAGTGGCTCTGGCAGCTCCAGCCGTTTGAAAGGACGGGGCCATTCAGCCTTGCCTACCGGACTCAGCCGCAGGAAAGACCAGAAGAGCCTGAGCGGAGTAGGGAGCCTGGGCTCCAGTTCGGAGCTTGCCCTGTGGCTGTGGCAGCCAGAGGAGGGTCCTGCTCCCTGGAATGTCGCTCAGCGTCTCTCGGCAGCGTGGACTTGCTGGGGCTGGTGCCGTCTTTTGCCACGCGGTGACTCCTCGTGTTGGTTTTCCCTTTGCCCTGTCCTGCTGCAGGCTGAGAACATCATGTTCTTGGAGCTGGACCTCTCCCCTCCGGCCATCTTCGAGTTTGAGCGGAGCAGGGACCCGGCAGAGCAGGACCCCCGGGCTCTCCACCTGGAGAGGCTGATGCACCTGGACAGCCTCCTGGAGCGGCCGGCGGCCTCCCGGGTGAGGAAGTCCCGCTCCTGGTGAGTGCCGGCGGGCGGGGGGGTCGCGTGGGGGCGGCGGCAAGGCCGGGTGG